TCAGTGGTGGACAGTTTTCTGGAAAAGAATGAAATAGGTCGTACTATTCCATGTTGAGTAGCTTGATGTATAACTCCTCCAATAGCTTTGCTGGAAGCATCTACTGCTAGAGCTAATTTGTCATTTGGGTCAGGATAGATTAGTTCTGTTGAATCTGCTAACAATTGTTTTATTTTCTTAAAAGCGTCTTCGAGTTCTTGATTCCAATCTATTTTAGCTGATTTTGATTTTACATTTTGTAACAAATTAGTCAGGGGTAACATTTCTTGAGCAGCATTAGGTAACCATCTTCTATAGAAATTGATCATGCCCAAAAATTGTCGAAGTTCCTGGATTGTTGTTGGATTCGGAAAATTTCTAATGGCTTCTACTTTTTCAGGTAATGGTCTTATTCCTTTAGATGTGATTATGGTTCCTAGAAATGTTACTTCTTTTTCGCCAAATTTACATTTTTCTAAATTGATTGTGAGACAATATTTTGAAAGTCTGTTGAAAACAGTGTCTAAGTGTTGTTGATGTTCTTCACGAGTTCTGGATGCGATAAGAATATCGTCGATGTAAACATAGACGTATGAAAGGTCTCGAAAAATGTGGTCCATGAATCTCTGCAGGGTTTGTGCTGCATTCCGTAAACCAAATGGCATTTTTACATACTCAAATAGACCAAAAGGAGTGATAATTGCTGTCTTGGGAATATCATCCGTGTTAACTGGAATTTGGTGAAATGCTTGAGTTAAATCAATGGTTGAGAATATGCTTTTGTTGTGTAAATCATATGTTATGTCTTGTATGTGTGGAATAGGGTAGCGATCAGGTTTCGTGACTGCGTTGAGTCGACGATAATCGCCACAAACTCTCCAAGTACCATTTTTCTTCTTAGTCAAATGTAATGGACTTGCCCAGTTAGATGACGATGGTCGTAAAATACCCTGTTCAATGAGCTTTTGGAATTCTTCTTTAGCAATAGATAATTTATCTGGTGATAAACGTCTGGGTTTTGAATAGACAGGTGGGCCTTTTGTTTCAATAAAATGAAAGGTATTTATTTCAGTTTGTGTTTGACAAATGGGTCCAAGTATATTTGAATATTTTGTTAACAATTCTGTAATGATATCTGCTAAATGGATAGCCTTTACACCCAAAACTTCTGTGTCTCTGACTTGGCAGTATTGTGTTGTTGTAGTATAAGAATCAATAAGTTTTCTGTGTTTTAGATCAACTTGAATACCAAAATGGGCCAAAAAATCAGCTCCAATGATAGCATGGGTAACTTGTGCTATAACGAACGTCCACGTAAATTTTCTGTTTAAATTGAGATCGATAGTTAATTCCTTCTTGCCAAAAGTTTTAATTAGTGATCCATTGGCTGATAAAAGACTGAAATTTGGATCAGAATTGCCTGGGAACCTTGATAACGGAAGGACACTGACATCTGCGCCAGTATCAATTAGAAACTGTAATCTAAATTTCTTGTCTGATATAAAAAGGCGGCTTGGTGTTGTAGGAGATCGAATTGCCGCATCTATCGACTCCCTGCTTCGTTTCCCATAAATTTACATGGTTTTTCACACTTCTTTGCTTTCTTCCCAAAGTTTTCGTGGTACCAACAATTTTCATTAGTGGACTGTGAAGATCCTTGCTTCTGTGGCTTGTTCTTGAGTTCTGTTGTTAATTTATTGACTTGTTGCTTCAATTGGTTAATTTGATCTTCCAAACTAGACATACCATAGAGGTTTGCTGGTCTGTCTAATGTTTCATTTATTTTGTCAGCTATTTCAGCTAATTTTGTTAGATCTTCGCCACTTACCATTAATATGGCCTTCATTGTAGATGGTAACTGCTCTAACCAAAGAGTTTTAATGACAGAGTCTTGTAATTTATTGTTATTTAGGCTCTGCATTTTGTGTAGGAGTTGTGAAGGTTTCTGATCTCCCAATGCAACTCCTGCAAGCAGTTTTTGGATTCTGACTGTATCGTTATCTGCAAATCTGCTAATTAAACGATTTTTGAGTGCTGAATACTTGTCTGTTGCCGGTGGACTGCGTATAAGGTCGGCTACTTCCGTAAGTGTTTCGCAGTTTAGGCTGGCAACTGTATAGTCGAACTTGCAATCGTCAGTTGAAATCCCAGCAGTTCGGAACTGACATTCAATTCTGTAAAACCATAGTTCTGGCTCAGCTTTCCAGAATTCGGGGGGTTTGAAACTGACTCTGCACAGTTCATTTATTGGTTGGTTGTTTGTTGATTGATTGGAATTGTTTGTTTGAGTAGTGCTAGCTTCTGGATTGTTTGTTTGCATGTTTGGTTGGTTGGTATTGATTGTAATTTCAAGCTTCTTGGATCACGTCGGGGTCACCAATATGGTTGTTCTGGGTGTGAATATGATAATCTGAAATCAGCTGGGTTTACTGTTTAGATTTTTCACAACTCAAAAGTCCATAAAATAAAGGGACGTGTTCAATCTGCTCTTTAATTACACAACTAAATAATTATTCTACAATAAAATAATTATTGAAAAACACGTTATGTCTTATTTGTCAGCCGATGCCGCTCTTCTTCTTCTTTTCTTCTTGGCACCGATAGACTTCGCTCGGGATTCTATGCACAGCCCTAGTATGGATGGGATTGTCGATATCGATCCGCCACAAGAGCGTCAAAACAAAGTGAGGTTAAGCACGGAGACAGTTGACAGAAGCGATGTTGACAGCGCCTCCTCAGAGCAATAACAGGGTTGTGTCGAACGATAACAGGGTTGGCGACTAGGGAACGTAAAAATTACGCGTCAAATAAACTATCCGGCCTGAACGAGAGGGAATCCGGTGATGATAGGCCAGACATCATATATTATATATAAAAAAGACATGCAACGAACTAAAAACGTTACAGTGCTTTACAGGGTTTCTCGTTTATGAGGAGAGGCACAAAGATGATGTTTTCGCATTACTACACTACTTTCTTATAGTATATCCTAGCCTTCTTAGTTCCTGAAATACATGCAAAATAAGCGTTCCGCATTTAACGTTTTATGTAAAACTGGCTAGGTATTTTTACACAAATGAAGAAGGAAATTAAACATAAAGGATTATACAATATCCGTATTGTAGCACATTTTTAGACTTCTTTATTTTTGAGATTTTGATGGTCAAACATCAACAAAATATTCCTTATGTTTGGACTAAATTTTCTCGAAAATAACGACATAATTTAAAATTCCATTACAATACGGAAATAGATTGAAGTTTTGTGATTACAGTGATATATAATTTATATAGTTTTGTAACAAATTGCTCGCTATTTTAAGGCAAATGCTGAAGCTGAAGCTCTGCAAACCCTAATCAAAGCACGTGTGTTTGGAATTTTGGATGTGGCTTAACACGACAGGATCGGGCTTACTCTTAGTATAGATTTCTGAAATCTATACTAATATATAAAATCCTTAAGTGACTGACATACTGATTAATCACGATCCTGCTCAAACCACTCAACGTAAGAAGCTCAATTTTGGCACACTGGTTGATTCTAGGGTGTAGAGGTTCGATAAGAAGGGATTTTTCGAAATTCCAGTTCCAAGGGGGTGAAACCACCCCTCAAATATTACAATATTTTTTATTTAAAAAACGGTCAACTTTCTGAAAAGACGCTTAAACACGTATATTTTATTTTGTTTTTTTACATATTTTAGAAAGAAAGAAAGAAATTGCTTTATTGTCATAAAAAATTAAACAATCTTGTTGACAAAGCCTAATCACGATCCTGCTCAAACCACTCAACGTAAGAAGCTCAATTTTGGCACACTGGTTGATTCTAGGGTGTAGAGGTTCGATAAGAAGGGATTTTTCGAAATTCCAGTTCCAAGGGGGTGAAACCACCCCTCAAATATTACAATATTTTTTATTTAAAAAACGGTCAACTTTCTGAAAAGACGCTTAAACACGTATACTTTATTTTGTTTTTTTAAGATATTTTAAAAATGTATACAGGGTGTTTCAAAAAATCTGGTCATTGATTAATCACGATCCTGCTTAAAGCGCTTGACGTAAAAAGCTGATTTTTGGAAAACGGATCGACTTTAGGGTGTAGAGGTTCGATAAGAAGGGATTTTTCGAAACTCGAATTCTAAGGGGGTGAAACTATCCCTCAAATATTAAAATATTTTTTATTTAAAAACCGGTGAGTTTTTCGGAAAAACTCTTAAACACGTATATTTTATTTTGTTGTTTTACATATTTTAAGATTTTTTATAAATTTATACAGGGTGTTTCATAAAATATGACCATTGAGTAATCACGATTCTGCTTAAACTGCTTGACGTTTAAAGCTGATTTTTAGCAAACGGATTGACTGTGGGGTGTAGAGGTTCGATAAGGAGTGGTTTCTCGAATATCAAATTCCAAGAGGGTGAAAACGCCCCTCAAATATTACAATATTTGTTATTTAAAAAACGGTTAGTCTTTCGGGAAAACGCTTGGACAAGCATAATTTATTTGTTTTTTTTACATATTTTGAAATTTTTTAAAAAATCATACAGGGTGTTCCAAAAAGTTGAGTAATTTCTTAACCACGATTCTGCATAAACTGCTTGACGTAAAAAGCTTATTTTTGGTAAACGGATTTTTCGAAAGTCAAATTCCAACGAGATGAAACTACCCCTCAAATATTTCCAAATTATATCATAATATCGCCATATTGTTTTTTCTCATGCTGACATAAATGTGAGAAATTTTATCCAGTTTGTATGTTAATGAAAATTTTTGCTTTGCTTTATCATCACCATTACAAATGATTAATTCGACGCGAACGAAGTCGCTGGTACACGCTAGTTTAATATACATTTCCTTCGGTTAATAGTCTCTTAACTCAACTGGTCGTCGTTTTTTCTCAATCATATGATATTATACAGGGTGAGTCTTAAATAAGTGGAAATATTTTCAATAAGTCTAAATCTATTCACACAAAATATTCTTGTTATTTATCCATTAATACAAAATAGAAATACGTACCCTGTAATATTTTCTTTGAGTGGAAAATGTGACACTACATCCACATCGTGTCCTTTCTGGGCTAAACCTTTCAATAGGCTCCTAAACATAATATAGTGACTTCTCCCTGGGAATGGAAACATTCCTAAGATTTTTGCACATTCATTTTTTTCGAATACTACTACAAAACAAACGAGTAAACATAGTTGCAATTTCATCTTTGACGCGAGATGTCCGGGCTACAACTTTAAACTAACTGAGATTAGTGATAATTCAGAGAGTCACGCTAGTACTAGAGTACGTAGATTTAAGCAATTATGTATCAATACATTGAAATTATCTAATTTTAGTCTACTCTATGTTAATTTGAGTGACTTGCGAAACAAAACAAATTATAAAATATTTAAGTACTCTCAAAGCTATGTCTGGAACTAGACTTAGTAAAATAATGTAACATATTTATGTTTTATGTATCAGATTTATAGATAAGAGTTCAATAGTGCGTAATTTTGATTATGTATACATAAATATAACAATTATTATTATTAACAAGATAGAAAATATTAATATGGAAAATTTAGTATCGAGGTTATGATTAGTTTTCCTCTTTGTTTTTTGAGCCAACAACGTCTTCTGATTAATAGCAATAAAATAAAAAATAATGCAATAAAACGATATGATCGAAAATAAAACGGCTGAGGAATGACAATCGATAATAATTTTGCCGAGGTCAATCTCTACTAAAAGTTGACATAAAACTTAATACTAATAATAGGAAGATTAACAGTGGGCACAGCGTTGCCCACTTTTACATATTTTCTTTTATTCAAAATATTTCAGGAAACAAAAATAATCTATACTAATATATACTGATTAATCACGATTCTGCTCAAACCACTCAACGTAAGAAGCTCAATTTTGGCATGCAGGTTGATTATAGGGTGTAGAGGTTCGATAAGAAGGGATTTTTCGAAATTCCTGTTCCAAGGGGGTGAAACCACCCCTCAAATATTACAATATTTTTTATTTAAAAACGGTCAAGTTTCCGAAAAAACGCTTAAACACGTATATATTATTTTGTTTTTTTACATATTTTAAGATTTTTAAAAATGTATACAGGGTGTTTCGAAAAATCTGGTCATTGATTAATCACGATCCTGCTTAAAGGGGTTTAAGGGGGCTTTAAACTATCCCTCAAATATTAAAATATTTTTTATTTAAAAACCTGTGAGTTTTTCGGAAAAACTCTTAAACACGTATATTTTATTTTGTTGTTTTACATATTTTAAGTTTTTTTATAAATTGATACAGGGTGTTTCATAAAATATGACCATCGAGTAATCACGATGCTGCTTAAACTGCTTGACGTTTAAAGCTGATTTTTGGCAAACGGATTGACTGTGGGGTGTAGAGGTTCGATAAGGAGGGGTTTCTCGAATCTCAAATTCCAAGAGGGCGAAAACGCCCCTCAAATATTACAATATTTGTTATTTAAAAAACGGTTAGTCTTTCGGGAAAACGCTTGGACAAGCATAATTTATTTGTTTTTTTTTACATATTTTGAATTTTTTTAAAAAATCATACAGGGTGTTCCATAAAGTTGGGTAATTTCTTAACCACGATTCTGTTTAAACCGCTTATGCTTATGCTACTCATGCTGACATAAATGTGAGAAAATTGTATCCAGTTTGTATGTTAATGGAAATTCTTGCTTTGCTTTATCATCACCATTACAAATGATTAATACGACGCGAACGAAGTCGCTGGTATACGTTAGTTAACTTATAAAGAAAACAAAATAAAAACACTAAATCACCACAATACACCAAAACACTTTTATTTTACACTGGACGCGCGTTTCGCTAACCATGTTAGCATCATCAGCAGATAATTATAGACTTTTGAGTCTTTGAAAATTCCAAACCAAACGCGCGTCCAGTGTAAAATAAAAGTGTTTTGGTGTATTGTGGTGATTTAGTGTTTTTATTTTGCTGTGTAACACCAAAGGTTCCAACCCTCAACTGTAATTATAAAGAAAAATTTACTTATTTTTCTTTAAATCTCGTTTCATAAAGAAGGCAACTACTGTCCAATTTATGAATATATTTTTGCACGGTAACTGATGAATTCAGTTGCAATCTAAATTTCATTTCTTATTCTTTCGACTCATTATTGAGTTACTCTCACTATTTCAATCGTTGGCCGTAAACCATAAAGGTTCTGAGAGTGCAGACATTGCGTTTAGGGTCATATTTTTATTTGTATATTGACTCTACTTTAGGTAAAATGGTATTATTATCTTCGTTTTTATTCGAGGGTGCTGCGATGAGATTTTCAAATTTTTGTTTGTTTTTCTTATACGTCACGCAAATTATATAAATATATACTTTTAAGCGAAAATCACGTTGGACAAACAACATAAATAATAAAATAACGTAATCCAAAGGGTAATAGATTTTTAGTATTGAGGATATATTGCTTAATATTTTATGAATAATTTATATATTATACAGGGTGAGTCTTAAAAAAGTGCAAATATTTTCAGGGCTGATAGATCTCGATAAATGAAATTTCAAAAAAAAATATTTTTCGCTTAAATTTTGAGAACCACTGGATCTCTTCTAGGTTTGGTTCTTTCTTGTAAAGTTAATCTACTACATATATGTTGCCATATTATAAAGATATTATGTTTTTTAACTAAAAATTAAAAAAAAATTTCCAAATTATTTTTCAAAAAATTCCAAATTTTCTGGGGTCGAAATATACTGCCCCTAAAAATATTCGCCCTTATTTAAGACTCACCCTGTATATTCTCATTTAAAATATTTATAATATGGCGACACTTTCGGATGACGGCGATACTATTTTCTTTTTTTCCCTATTAATAACTTTCCTGTTTTAAACGGATGACTCTATTTTTTCATATACAGGGTGAGTTTTCTACGATGTCTTCTATGGGTATATCGGAAACTACTAGAGATAGAGAGTCGATTAAATGGGGAAAGAATTGCAGTTTTATGAGGTCAAAAATATGCGTCTTTCGGATTTTTGAAAAAGTTAATGATGGCTTACTAGATATTTAAAAAAAAATTGACAGACAGACAGACAGACAGACAGACAGACAGACAGACAGACAGACAGACAGGCAGACAGACAGACAAACAAACAAACAGACAGACAGACAGACAGACAGACAGACAGACAGACAGACAGACAGTCAGACAGACAGACAGACAGACAGACAGACAGACAGACAGACAGACAGACAGACAGACAGACAGACAGACAGACAGACAGACAGACAGACAGACAGACAGACAGACAGACAGACAGACAGACAGACAGACAGACAGACAGACAGACAGACAGACAGACAGACAGACAGACAGACAGACAGACAGACAGACAGACAGACAGACAGACAGACAGACAGACAGACAGACAGACAGACAGACAGACAGGACAGACAGAAGACAGACAGACAGACAGACAGACAGACAGACAGACAGACAGACAGACAGACAGACAGACAGACAGACAGACAGACAGACAGACAGACAGACAGACAGACAGACAGACAGACAGACAGACAGACAGACAGACAGACAGACAGACAGACAGACAGACAGACAGACAGACAGACAGACAGACAGACAGACAGACAGACAGACAGACAGACAGACAGACAGACAGACAGACAGACAGACAGACAGACAGACAGACAGACAGACAGACAGACAGACAGACAGACAGACAGACAGACAGACAGACAGACAGACAGACAGACAGACAGACAGACAGACAGACAGACAGACAGACAGACAGACAGACAGACAGACAGACAGACAGACAGACAGACAGACAGACAGACAGACAGACAGACAGACAGACAGACAGACAGACAGACAGACAGACAGACAGACAGACAGACAGACAGACAGACAGACAGACAGACAGACAGACAGACAGACCGACAGACAGACAGACAGACAGACAGACAGACAGACAGACAGACAGACAGACAGACAGACAGACAGACAGACAGACAGACAGACAGACAGACAGACAGACAGACAGACAGACAGACAGACAGACAGACAGACAGACAGACAGACAGACAGACAGACAGACAGACAGACAGACAGACAGACAGACAGACAGACAGACAGACAGACAGACAGACAGACAGACAGACAGACAGACAGACAGACAGACAGACAGACAGACAGACAGACAGACAGACAGACAGACAGACAGACAGACAGACAGACAGACAGACAGACAGACAGACAGACAGACAGACAGACAGACAGACAGACAGACAGACAGACAGACAGACAGACAGACAGACAGACAGACAGACAGACAGACAGACAGACAGGACAAAAGCACCGGGAAAAGGCTGGGTTGTTAAAAATTTGGACCAAGAGAAACTACGGTCCTATCTGGAAGAACAGAATAAAGCAGCGGGTATCAATTTAGATTATACAGTGGCAACGTTGACAAAAGCATGCGACCACTCTATGCCTAGGAGAAAGTCTTGGAAAGGCAGTAAAACCTCAGTATATTGGTGGACATCAAACATCGATAATTTACGAAAAGATTGTTTACGATCTAGAAGGAATTGGACAAGAAGCCAGGGAAACACCACACTAGCAGAGGAATACAAAAGTCGGAGAAAGCTTTTAAGAACAGCTATAAGATCGCGAAAAAAGCAGTTCTGGAGAGATTTATGCCAAGAGATTGAAAATGACCCGTGGGGACTCCCTTACAAAATAGTGTTTAAGAGGATAGGACACGAAAAAATACCAGGACTGTTGGACCCAGATTGGGTTTGCCAAATAGTAGAGACACTCTTCCCAAAGGAGCAGCATAAAAAACATGACGGAGGAAAGAAAAAAGTGTGCAGGAACAACACAATGGAACTAAAATATTTTACTGTAGTCGAACTAGAACAAGCAAGTACAAAACTTTCGGCAAATAAATCACCGGGTCCTGACGGCATACCAAACGAAGTTCTTAAAATAGCCATTGATGTATGGCCGGAGTTACTACTACACACAGTGAATGAATGTCTTCTTTCTGGATGTTTCCCAAACAAATGGAAGCAGCAAAATTTGGTCCTTCTACACAAGCCCAACAAGCCAATAGAGAATACGTCATCTTATAGACCAATCTGCCTAATAGACACCAGTGCCAAACTCCTGAAAAGATTAATACTACAAAGAATGGAGGTCCATGTGGACACCATAGGAGGATTATCACATCGGCAGTATGGATATCGTAAAGGCATATCGACCATCGACGCAATCAATCGAGTAATCACCATTGCAAGGAGTGTAAAGGAAGGGAATTGGAAAAATAAAGGATATTGTGCATTAGTAACTTTAGATGTCAAAAATGCTTTCAATACTGCAAGATGG